AAATTCCAGCTCCTGAATTAAAGTATCTATTGAACAGATCTTTTTGCTCTACTAGTAAGGCGTCTAACCAAATTTCTCTTATATCGGATAGGTGTAAAGCTATTACTTACTTACTGACGTCTGTTACCCCTCGTCGAGGAGCATAGGCCGCTCACCAGCATTCTCCATCCAACTCTGTCCTGAGCCTTCCTTTCCAGTTCTTTCCAGTTGCTATTCAGCCTTTTCATATCGGCTTCTATTTCCCGGCGTAGTGTGTTCTTTGGCCTTCCTCTCTTCCGCTTCCCTTCCGGATTCCAAGTTAGGGATTGAGTCGTGATGCACATTGGTGGTTTCCTTAATGTATGTCCGATTCACTTCCAACGTCTTTTCATAATTTCCTCTTCAGCTGGAAGATGGTTTGTCCTCTCCCATAAAACGCTGTTGCTGATAGTATCCGGCCAATGGATGTTGAGTATTTTGCGTAGACAACTATTTATAAATACTTGTACCTTTCTGATAATGGTTGTAGTAGTTCTCCACGTTTCAGCTCCATACAGTAGGACTGTCTTGACGTTCGTATTAAAGATTCTGACCTTGAAATTGGTTGAGAGTTGTTTTGAGCTCCATATGTTCTTCAATTGTAAAAATGCTGCCCTTGCTTTGCCAATCCTCGCCTTCACATCTGCATCCGGTCCTCCTTGTTTATCAAAGATGCTCCCCAGTTACGTCAATGTTTCCACCTCTTCCAGAGTTTCGCTGTCAAGTGTGATTGGGTTGGTGTTCTCCGTGTTGCATTTGAGAATCTTGCTTTTTCCTTTGTGAATGTGGAGGCCTATCGATGCGGAGGCTGCTGCTACATTTGCTGTCTTCATCTGCATTTGGTCGTGTGTATGAGAGAGGAGGGCTAGGTCATCTGCGAAGTCCAAATCATCTAATTGATTCTGAGAAGTCCATTGTATTCCGTATTTCCATTCAGATGTCAAATTCTCCATAATCCAGTCAATCACTAGAAGGAAGAGGAATGGGGAGAGTAGACAGCCTTGTCTGACTCCGGTCCTTACTGGAAATGCATCTGTCAGCTGTCCTCCATGCACCACTTTGCACTGTAGTCCATCGTATGAGTTTTGGATAATGTTGACAATCTTTTGAGGAACTCCATAGTGTCGAAGAAGTTTCCATAATGTTCTCCTGTCCACGCTGTCAAACACCTTCTCATAGTCAATGAAGTTGGCGTATAGTGATGAGTTTCACTCAACTAATTGTTCAACGATGATCCGTAGTGTCGCAATCTGGTCTGTGCACGACCGATCCTTACGGAATCCAGCCTGTTGATCCCGAAGTTCGGCGTCTACTGCGTCTTTCATCCGATTCAGCAGCACTCTGTTGAAAACTTTTCCTGGTACTGATAACAAACTGATGCCTCTGTTATTTTCACATTTGCTTAGATCTCCTTTCTTTGGTATATTGATGAGATATCCTTCTTTCCAGTCCATTGACACTTGTTCCTCTTCCCAAATCTTCTTGAATAGAAGGTGAGGCATGTTTGCAGTTATTTCAATGTCTGACTTCAGTGCTTCTGCTGGTATATTGTCAGGTCCTGTCGCCTTCCCACTTTTGATTTGTCTGATGGCCATCTTGACTTCTTCGATCGTTGGTGGAGTGACATCTGAAGGAAGGTCAGTGTGTGTTGCTTCGATGTTCGGTGGGTTCAATGGAGCTGGTCTATTCAGCAGTTCCTCGAAGTATTCTGCCCATCTTTTCCTCTGTTCCTGAATCTCAGTGATTGTCTTTCCTTCTTTGTCCTTGACTGGTCTCTCTTGTTTGCTATATCTCCCTGCCAATTTCTTCGTTGTATCATATAGTTGTCTCATATTCCCTCCTCTTGAAGCTTTTTCCGCCGTCGTTGCTAGTTCTCCCATGTATTTCTGCTTGTCGGCTTTAATGCTTTTCTTCACTTCCCTGTTTGCTTCTGTGTACTCTGCTTGTGCTTTGACTTCCTCTGCTCTTGTTCGCCTGTTGTTAATTGCTAGTTTCCTGTTCTTCCTTTCTTGAATTTTGTCCAGGGTTCCCATAGAGATCCATTCTTTGTGATGATGCTTCTTAGGACCAAGAACCTCTTGACACGTTGAAGTTAGTGCTTCTTTTATCCCTTTCCAGTTGTCCTCCATCGTAGTTTCTTGTTCTTTCAGTAGATCATGTAGAGCTTGGAACCTGTTGTTGAGAGTTATCTTGAATTCATGGGGCTTGTCAGCATCTCGAAGGAAGGCTGTATTGAACCTTTGTAGTGCTGTTTGTCCAGTTGTCCAGTCTTTCTTTAGCTTCAGTCTCATCTTGGCCACAACCAGGTGGTGATCTGAAGCTATATCAGCTCCTCTCTGGGTTCTCAAATCTTCCATTGATCTTTGGAATTTTTTGTTGATACAGATGTGATCAATCTTGTTCTCTGTGGTGTGGTCCGGTGAGATCCATGTAGCTTTGTGTATACGTTTGTGTGGGAATATTGTGCCGCCTATAACCAATTTGTTGAATGCACATAGGTTTGCAAGTCTCTCCCCATTTTCATTTCTCTCTCCTAATCCATGTCGTCCAATTACATCTTCATATCCTGTGTTGTCCACCCCAACTTTAGCATTTAGATCTCCCATCAGGATTGTGAGGTCCTTTCGTGAGCACTTCTCTATAATTGATTGCAGCCTTTCATAGAACTGATCTTTATCATCGTCGTTGCTATCATTAGTGGGTGCATAACATTGGATAATGTTCATTTTGATCCCTGGCTTCTTTGTTCTGAATGATGCTTTGATTATCCTGGGTCCATGAGATTCCCATCCCACAAGTGCATTTCGTGCTTCTTTGGACAGTATTAGAGCAACTCCCTGAGTGTGTGGAGCATTTTCCCCTTCGTGACCGGAGTACAGCAGCATCTCTCCTGTACCTAGCCTTTGTTGTCCAGTTTGTGTCCAATGGGTTTCGCTGATTCCGAGTACTGCCAAGTTGTATCTTCTCATTTCCATTGCTATTTGGCTGGTTTTTCCTGTCTCCCACATTGTCCGGACGTTCCATGTACCTATAAATAGTGTTACTCTTGTTGTTGAAAAGTGAATCGGCATTGTGACTTCCGAAAAATTTCGGCTTTGATCATGAGGCGTCATAATTATTCCTTCAACTCCCAGGGTAGAGTATTAATGGTCTGAATTATTTTTTCTAGTTAGCGTTTTTTTAGCGAGTTAGCTTTTCTACCCTATGCCCAACCCTCATTCTTTGTGTGGGCTTGGGACCGGTAGTAACTCTAGAAGAGCTACAGGCGGAGTTGTGTAAAGCCATAGAACTGAGTATATTGGCAGGCTGAGGTACTTTTTCTATACACACTTCTACTTAACGAGCTATCACTTCTCCTGCTTAGTGTGACGTCAAGGAAATTCAGTTTATTGTTACATTCGCCTTCACCAGTGAAACTAATCGCTGGATGTACACTGTTTAATTGTTCTAGTTGTTTATCCTTACTGGTGTTCTGATCTACGAAAATGAATGTATCGTCGTTGTAGAGACAGTATAGATCAAGGTTCTAAATAGCCTCATTAAGTGGTCCATTTTCTAACTTTGCTAGGAAGAGATCAGCTAGAATCGGGCCTAGAGGTAAGCCCATGGCTATAATAAGTATTGTTGAAGACAAAATGAACATTCATCGTATATCTTAAGAGCAGTTCCTTCAGACAATCTTCAGGCAAGTCAATGTTGATTTGTTTTTCTGATATTTGCTAGCATATGAACTCAATAGTCTCGATAAGTGGTACGTTGGTAAACAAAGATGCTACATCCAGAGAGAACATATTTTTCATATGAACATTCATATTTTCCACTTTGGAAGTGAAGTCCAAAATATCTTTTACATTCATTCTAACAACTGATTTGTGCAAAGGCTTTAAGATTCGCGAAAGCCATTTCGCAATTTTGTGGTAGGGAGAATTGTACATATCTAGAACTGGGAGCAAAAGACATGGTTTATGAACTTTAGGCCAACCGTACTGACTTTTGTTATCGTAATTTATTATTCTTACTACTATCAGTACACCTGTCTTCCCAATATCAACTTCTACTTTTAACTATTATGCTCGGTGACGTATTCTATTTCATTGCGATTATTGACTAAAATTACCTTGTTGGTCTAACATTTTCGTATAAATATTTATGTATATTAGAGTGAAGCCTGATGACGATCTAATTGAAAACAATTGTTCGCTTACATGTGTTGTTTTAATTTTTACCATGGGAATCTTTAATATTTAGCATTAATTATCCGTATAATTCGTTCATCATTTTCCAGCTCATCTTTGTCATTACAAAGGTATCTGATTTCAATGGGGAACGTATCAATGAACCATATTGTTAAGAAATATGAAGTGAATTTGGTTTAATGTAGTGTAATTACAATCACATGGATATCAACAATAAATATTCCTTACAGTGTTAACAGATTATTCATATCTATGTAATTTCCATAAATTTGTATGTTACATATCCAGTATTTAACATAATGTGATCCAGAAAACGAATGTTCCATATATTTGTTGACATGTTAAGGTTTCACGTGCCTTATTGGTGGAGATTTAACACCACTACGTTCACACATAGAAAAAAAAGAAGACAAGGAAACCGACATCATTACCTTGATTCCAATTATTCGACGTAGTGATTAGTTAAAACCGAAGATCAGGCTATTGATTTTAAATACTTTTACGCGGTAAAAAACGACACCTGTTTTTTTCCATCTTTTGATGATCAGTTTAAACGTTTAACTTCTGACATGGTCGATTTTGTGAATGCTCATTTTGTGTATTTTCATGCTACACTTTAGAAAAGGGGAGAAATAATTAACGTGCCATAGTTGTGTATTTAATCATATATTGACACTCAGGATCCTTAATGGAAAAAAAATTGGAGGCTTGGTGGTCAAATACATTTGATACACAGCTGATAAATCGATTGAGGAAAGAGACAATTGATAACATTTGTCCAGGGTGTTTATACCGGACATACAGAAATTCGAATTACTTAAAACATTGGTTCGTATAGTGATTGAATGTCTATTTTTATGTCTGTTTATCACTAGCTGTCTATCGGTCTAACAAGTCTTTACTTAACATCAATGTCTGTCTGTACAAATAACCAGATGTACAAAACACACTTGGTGCATAATGTGACTGTCCTACTAAATGTGCATAAAAAGTAAGTATGATAACAGATGGTGAACAAGAGGGGAGGATGTTATTCAGAGAAAGCAGTAAACCTAACAATCGATGGACAGACAGAAATGTTATTCCCAAAAACACGTATATTCTTATAAATTAATATTAATCACTACACCTAAAACGTAGTTTTCTAAAGCAGCAACAACAACAAATATTGCAGAAGCAAAAATCGTGGAAGACCTTTGCTTTTAGCAATCTTTCGTGGATTATTTCATAGAACTTTCGAATATCTTGTTTCATAATCAGTAATACTCTTATAATAACAAAAAAATTATAATAAGTAGTGTCTTTATCGGAATTCGTGAAACCAGAACATTTCGTCTTCTTTGAAGATTTACTTAACAATTGGTAAACACTTAGAAGAAAAAAATATTTCGTAGAAAGCAATTAGTAATATTGTTATTGCTTTCCTATGAATATACTATTCCCTTATTCTATACCAATCCCATTGCTTTCAAATTTTTACGATCATATCATGTCACAACAGAATGTTAACAATGAATCATCACCATATTCTTCTACACCCTCTGCATCATCACCATCATCATCGGCAATGCTAGCGGCCAATTCAACAACTTTACCACGTTCATATAACTTAGCTATGGAGATTTTACATACATTAGCTGCACGACAATACAATCAACATTTGTTAACATATGATCAAAAAAATTCAATAAACAGTGAAATTTCACAAAAATTACCATTTGAATCGTTACCAATAAACTTACAAAATTTATCACTTTATTTATTAAATATGACTAATTCTTCATTGAACTCCATTCAAATGAATAATAACAATAGTAGTAACGATTTTTCAAATCATATTCAATCTACATTGAATAATGATTGGAATAAATGTAATGAAACATCACCTACTACATGTCGTCAATCTAGAACAACTATGAATACAGTCGATGATGCATTATACATATCAAAAGATAATAATAATCTTTTAAAATCTTACGAAAGATTAGCTGCATGGTCTTCTACACTTTCTAATGCATCACCATGTGATATTGCAGCATTTCAGAATGCTTTAGCTCAATTAACACTAATGGGTTTATCATCTTCGTCAACGGTGACAACAACATCAACAACAGTAACTAGTACAAATACTGTAGACTCATCAAATTTATTAGTAGATAAAATATCACATTTAAATGAATCTGTAAATTCAGTGTTAAATTTATCTAATGATGAAGTGAATAATCATTATTGTAAAAATCATAACTGTGATATACCATTATCCACATTGAATTCAACTGTAATAAATCAAGCAACTATGTAAGTTTTTCTTTACTTGTGAATGCAAACGGATTGTATTTTGTAGCAAATGTATAAGAATTTCCTATAAATCGGTGTATTTTACATATTATTCATATATAATTCGTTGCATGAAGCTTTATTTATGGATTTATATCATTTTCAGTACCATTGACAAATTGAGGAACATCGGCAAGTGGTTTGCTTCTATCATAGTGATTTCACAGCTCTGTCCATCCTTGACCACGCAATAATGGAGATCTTGACATCAGAGTCATGCGAATATGTCTTAGCCTTCAAACCAAGAAGTTTAAATCCAGCGATTCAGACTCTCAAGCATATTCTTGTCTAGCTAATTCTAATTAATTCGCTTATTTATTGTTATCAAAGAATTAAATTATTATTCCATCTCAAAGACAAGAAGTAACACAAATATATTCAGACACTTTTACTTCGACTTATTATCTTACTATCTAGTTCAGTCGGATAATTTCTGTAGTTATCATCAGTTACTGTAGAAAAAATAACCAAAAAAAATTCATAAGTAGTCTGATATTTATCTATTGTTAACAGAGTTTCCAGTGTGTTATTGTGAATATACTCATAATCAAGACAAAAAATATAAAACTCACTTCAAAAGTACAATTAGTCAGTATAGGTTATGCAGAATTTTACTGAAGCATATTTGTATACAATTTTTTCTTTAAAAAATGCCGAAATGTAACCTTGTAAAAAGTGACAAAAATCTCTCTGATAAGATTTAACATAACGGAAACATATACACACTCACCAGAATAAAAGTCACATTCCGCAACCATGATAATAGATAATTATTGGAAAAGCTCATCTGATGTTTAACTTTGATAAAGTTCTGGTTTTTTATATGTTTTATCGTAAAGTTAAGAAAATTACGACTCATAATAATAAATATTATTATTATTATTATTTAAATATGTTTATCCCATTGTAAATATTAAATATAAGTTGTGTTTTAGTGTTTACAAAAAGTCGTTGCATTCCATTGCCTCTTTAAGGAATTCATCCGATGAATTCTGGCTGTAACACTACCTTGCAAACAAATCCAATACATTAAATCTGTACTTGATGCATGAATTACATTATTTACTGTTGATATTATTATTCGTCAAATTAGTTATAGTAATTTTTAGTGGATAGTATGAAATAACCCAACTGAAAAGGAAATTTAGAATTGGTCGGTAACAGATTCTTAATTTATCACTCTTTAAGTATCCTAAAATGATGATTTATTTTAAATAGACTGACATGATTTATTAATTGTAAGTTATTATTGGTAATAATGAAACATTAGTTTCTTGATTTTGCAAGATATCTTTGTCTAACGCATTGGAATAATGTATTTGTATTTAAAGGCCTCTAATGAATAAAGTTTCCTAGTTGAACTGAATTTTCGTTATTAGTTTAACTTCACTAAGATTAAACACTTACTTTATATTATATCAACAAGGAGAAGGTTTATCAGTAAATAAAATTTCTTTATACTCAATTTATCTAAAGTACAATAACTTGAGAGGTTTTAATCCAATCAATTAACTGTTTTGGATCCTAGTTTATAGTTATCAAATAGGGCATACACCTAACTTACTATAAGAACTTTAGGTTTCACTACATATTTATTATTATTTATTTAAACACATAAATATTGGTACGAAGGGGAACCAGATATATATGCGCCACACAAATCTCATTTGATTTGTGTGAGGGCTGTGATACTGCCCAGGTGCCCAAACTGAAGCAGGTGATTTTCTTAGGGGGCCACAACCGAGCGTTTGACCTAAAGGTCTGATCCACAAGGCAGTGGAGTATCGTAAGGAGATGCAGTTCCATGGTAGCCGATGACCAACGATTGGTTCATACGCCATTTGTTCCCTCAAGATACTGGAGCCCATGTGCACCATTCTTTGGAATCAGGGTTTTCCAACTCCCCTAGGTGGACTTTCCGTGTCCACCGACCCGGTTAGAGTGCCGAACATTCGCTTTTCGCCCTCTCAATTTCGTAAACAACAGTAATGCCACAAGAAGGCAGTGAGTAGGACTTCGCTGGCAGAGACTATATACGCGTGGCCATGTGAGAGCATTTCGGGAGGTAGTGCGGACTCTCCCGACTCTCGGCCGAATCAGGGCATTTGGGGGATCACTACATATATAAGTTCTATTAAATTGACTGAATTTAAGATTGAAATTGTTTCATAATGTTCTTCCTTCCTATACTATATCTTTATATACAACCTATCTTTTATATACTACCACTACTAAATTAACTATTTCTATGAATCCGGTGTTCATCTTGTTGTGGTAACGAGGTATGGCAACTTGAACCGATGCATATGTGTGCCTGGTCGTACGTTGTAGCTGACTGACTGACTGAATTTTTGATATACAGTCATAAGTTATTTGATTACTTCTTTAGAGAACAATTCACTTACTTAACAGAAAATTAGTATTTCTAACCTACACTTGGCATGATTAAGATTGAAGTACATAAACTTATATTGGCTAAATGTACAAAATACTTTTTTTAAAATTAGTTAATTGATTCATTCTGAAATTTTTTTAATGTATTTATGATCTTCATGTTCATGAACTGCAAATCTTCTTTTATTGATTACTAACAAAAAAAAGGTGAAAAAATTTGGTTGTTGTCATAGATTTGTATAAATAATATGGCGTGCACAACAAAAAAATAAAACATAATAATTAATTAACAATCTCTTGTGACATATACATATATATTCCCCACGACATACAACCTCGCCGTGTATACACACACATCTGGTTATAACTTAATTCATATTTATTATTATTACGTCTAAACATGAAGAAAAGATTATTATTTTCATGAAATGAAGTTAAATTGAAGAATTAATAGTTTTATCATTTATGTATAAATGTCATAACATCTGCCTATTTACTTGTCTATCCTATTCATTTCATACCGCTGATTGTTATCAATTATTTGAAAACATTAAGCTCAAATAACATTATTTATTGTTAGTCACCTTTTTCAATAAAATTTCTGACCTTTATCTAAACAGGATGTGACAAGAAATTTTTTTGCAAACATCTCAATCAGATTTTGTAATGGTAAAGTATTTTCATTGAGTATGTTTATTTCATTTGATATATAAGAGTAAACTTGTATAGATTTTCTCACATTCATTATATCTAGTAATTTGTAAAGTCGACATATATATATATAGCCTCATGGAAGGGGTTGCCAAGACAACATGTATACACAGATAAATTTTGAACTTCACGTTTTTCTTTTAGACCTTTGTTTGCTACATTATGAATTAGTTTATTTTATTGAATTCATAAGACGATTATGGTCTATTATGACAAATGTGATTGAAAATAATTATTGTGTCTGTATGACACATCTTTTCATTGAATAATCCTTTTTTTATGCATGGAAATAATGAAGTTCCATAATAAGTCAGAAAGTGAATCAATAGAGCAAGTAGTTATTACTTAATGATATGGAGTTTTGATGCATTTGTATATGATTCTACCTTTTTAACCTCCAGGTCATAAGTATGAAATTCTTTCCATGAGATTCTAGTTTAAAACCTGATTATTATACACTTTTTTTATATAATGTTTGTATGTTAGCCAAGCACATGAAATAACTATTGGTTACTGTGTCACATTTTCGGTTGAGCAAGATCGTTATAGTTTATAGAAAAAATATATATACTAAAATATCAACCATTCAAGAAACGTAACAATTCATTTTCAATTAAATAAATATTATTGAACTATATTAGGAAGATGTTAAAATGTCTGACAAAATTTTTTTGAAGTATATTTCATTCTAGTTGACACATCATGAAAGTGCTTTGAAATCTTGAAGAAATTAGTATATACCGAATGATATAATCTCCTAGAAAATCTAGAAGATTGTTTTACAAGTAATTAATATGAATTGAGTACTCGTACAGTTCACCATGTAGTAACATTTAGTTAATAATTCTAAGTTTTTCTCGGTGAGATCAGATTCATTAGTTCAAAGATTACACCAAACTTACTTAAAAACATATGTCCTTTTAACTTCATTAATAAAATTCGACATCTATATTTAACATTTTTCGGCGGCTTACTTGTGATATTGGTGAGAACCAAGAATCACTAGCTAGCTGCTTCCTCCCAATATGAAATTTCATGGAATTACTTACACAGGACCATAAAAGGAGCCGAATCCATGGCTTTCAATTCTCTCACCCACTACCTAACCGTTAGATCAACGTATTGGCGTCCAGTGATCCTGCTGGCTAAAAAGAAACGGCTTTTTAGCACTCCATATTTTTCAACAGTATTTCAAATAAGATCAATCTATGCTTGATACCATAGTTAAAAGATGAGGTCAACCTTTTTCTTTCACAATACCAAGTCGACAAGTTTGAAGAATTTAAAAGACGTTATTCTGTGTATCTATATCACTTCTCTCTCTCTCTCTCTCTATATATATATATATATATATATATATATATATATATATTGACGAAACACAACTGGCCGACTAACCAGTCCTAAATACTTGTTGGAAATTAAACTTATATTTCTTTTCTAGTGCAATATATTTCCTAATAAATTAAGAGAAAAAAACAATAATCAGAAAAACATAGTTAATAGTTTATCATTCCATTAAAAAGGTAATAACAAACTTCATTACTTATTTGTTTTTACAAAGAAAGATTGTAATGTTCGCACTGGTTAACATATTGATCTTTTACATACATATATATGTATTGATTACCAATATTTTTGATTATAGGAAAAAAGGCAAATAGAACGAACGAAAATGAATGTACAAATGTTTATGTGTTTTTTTTTGAAATTTTACTGGGCGCCTTTAATATATATACATATATAGATATAGATAGATAGATATAGATAGATATAGATATTTAATGCAAAAATGCACAAAGCATAATTTTATTACTAATGTCTATATAACTGTCTATCACTAACAGTCTTTCGTA